GCATCATCACAGCCATGAGAAGGCCACAGATATACATATCTGCGCGTGAAAGTCGAAGCCGTTGAGGATGTCGATGTCTGTGAGAATGATAGACGTGAGGACTTGCGTGTCTGAAGGGTGGACCCTGATGAGCGTCATCATATCCATGAGAAGGCCAAAGATATACATCTCTGCGTGTGAAAGTCGAAAGCCGTTGAGGATGTCGATGTCTGTGAGAATGATAGACGTGAGGCCTTGCGTGTCTGATGGGTGGACCTTGGTGACATCATCACAGCCATGAGAAGGCCAAAGATATACATCGCTGTATGTGAAAGTCGAAGCCGTTGAGGATGTCGATGTCTGTGAGAATGATGGACGTGAGGACTTGCGTGTCTGAAGGGTGGACCCTGATGAGCATCATCATATCCATGAGAAGGCCAAAGATATACATCTCTGTGCGTGAAAGTCGAAAGCCGTTGAGGATGTCGATGTCTGTGAGAATGATAGACGTGAGGCCTTGCGTGTCTGAAGGGTGGACCCTGGTGAACGTCATCATATCCATGAGAAGGCCAAAGATATACATCGCTGTATGTGAAAGTCGAAGCCGTTGAGGAGGTCGCGATCTGTGAGAATTATAGACGTGAGGACTTGCATGTCTGAAGGGTGGACCTTGGTGAGCGTCATCATATCCATGAGAAGGCCAAAGATATACATCTCTGTGTGTGAAAGTCGAAGCCGTTGAGGATGTCGATGTCTGTGAGAATGATAGACGTGAGGACTTGCATGTCTGAAGGGTGGACCCTGGTGAGCGTCATCATATCCATGAGAAGGCCAAAGATATGCATCTCTGTGCGTGAAAGTCGAAGCCGTTGAGGATGTCGATGTCTGTGAGAATGATAGCCGTGAGGACTTGCATGTCTGAAGGGTGGACCCTGGTGAGCATCATCATATCCATGAGAAGGCCAAGGGTATACATCTCTGCGTGCGAAAGTCGAAGCCGTTGAGGATGTCGATGTCTGTGGGAATGATAGCTGTGAGGACTTGGGTGTCTGACGGGTGGACCTTGGTGAGCATCATCATATCCATGAGAAGGCCAAGGATATACATCTCTGTGCGTGACAGTTAAAGTCGTAGAGGATGTTGATGTCTGTGAGAAAGGTAGACGTGAGGACTTGCGTGCGTGAATGGTCGACCCTGGTGAGTATCATCATACTCTTGGGAAGGGTTTTCCTTGGTATTATTACCTTGATGATGGGAGATGGACTCTCGTGAAGATGTTGATGCTGTAAGAATTGTAGCAGCGTTCGTGTATGCGTTTGATAGTGTCACAAACAAGAAGAAGAGTCATGCACGATTGTTTTGAGCATGAAGCGCACCCATTTAGGTTGTACCTATGACGATTATACTCATACTACGGATTATGCAATTTTGGTGGAATGTACTAAGACGACGGAAAGTGCTTTACTGTGGTTTATAGACTGTCCCACCTGACTGAACGGAAACTAGCTGAGTGAAGCAAGAAAGTAAATACTCTACTTCGCTTATTTGTAGAAGTTGTAATACGGAAAATTTATGGCGTCTGATTTAATTACCGGAGTGAGGAGTGCGTGGATTGTTTCTGTTGTTTTATGCTTACGCAGTGAAAAAGTAGCTTCTCGAATTGGAAGAAATGGAAAATGAGGTGAACCCGGATACGTAAAAGTTTTTCAAGTAACGAAGAACAAGTAGTGAATTTGTACAAATTGAACGCATGATGAATGGCAAGTGTGATGCTTTTAGAATACAAAACCCAACGCAAAAAATCGTGGCTCTAGATAGACAGCGACGTAGTTTGTGATTTTGGTAGTTAGACTAACGAAACTGAAAGTGATTGGTTGCAAAGCGCACGCTCTACCAGTTTTATGATGAAGACTTGTGAAGCTGTGCTTGATTTTAACTTACTTTTTTTTAGGTGTTTTTGTCACTGGTTTTTTAGGTGAAGTTTTGTTAGTTGTAGAGCGTTGCGGCTTCTTCGGCGAGATGGATTTCTTTGCGGAGCCGTCATTTTTGGTAGCGTTGTTATTTTTCGATAAGGCGTTGGCGTCGCTCGAGGTCGATGCGTGTTTCCCTTTTTCCGCTGTTTTAAGATCGTCTTCCAATTGTGCAATACCTGATAAGAGTAAGGTCCTTTGGAAAGCATTGAAATGAGTACGGATTTGGAAATTGTTGTAAATACTTTGGAGAACTGTAAATTTAAGGGAATCAAAAGGATGAAAGGAGAGGGATGGGAAGTGGTTACGTTTCAACAAAGCATCGTTGTTGAAGGCCGTGTCATTGTTCTCTGCTTTCTTGTTGCTCGTCTCGTTTTTTTTGGTTTCGGGTGGTGTTGCGGTTGCGGTAGTAGTAGGAGCTTTCGGGAGGATCGTGGTGGCGTCGGCTGTTGCAACAGCTACGTGACTCAGGGGGAAACGGAACTCGTCTTCCCAAGTTCCCCGCTTCAAGGTCACTGCCGTTTCGTTGGAGATATTAGAGGAAAGTACACAAGGAATAGGAAATATTTGAAAGAAGTACTAGACTACCAGTTTTTCCAGTATTTGAGAAAGGTGACGCTGTTCATAACGGTTGCAGTCGAAGTGATGTCAGTGATCGCAGAGCTCCTGTGGTTCATTAATGGGAGCGGATAATAGTCTGGGAAGATGAAAAAGCTAAGTTTTTTTAAAAAATTTCAGGGAGGTCGTTCAATTTTTGCTGTATTTGAATGACCCCCCTGAAGTTTTTGAAAAAAAAAATCTTGAACGATAAGAATAAGGGTCAGAAGTTGGAGGGTACGAGTGTAGTGCATTGTGGAAGATTTGACGTAAGTCGGGAGGTATATGTTAGACATGTGGAAGATGTAGGACGAGGTGGGTGTTAAAAGAATACCATTTGTTCAACTCGGTGTAAAAGTTAACGAGAATGCGCAATTGCGGCAAAAGCATCGCGGAGTCCTCTGCGGTCACGTAGACGCGGGTTTCTTTTTCCTCTATTGGCCCAATTGCGTTTTTATCTCTCCGAAGCAAGACCTGGGCAGTGGGAAGAGATGTAGTTCCACTGAAAATCATCAGGCAAATAAACATGAAGTAAAATAGATGAAATGGAAGAGAACCAAGAATATCGAGAAGATGGAAACTGATGTACGTCGCATCCGGGCAGAAGTTGGCATTTGACGGCGCCGGAATCTTGAACGCGTTTTCCCAAATAGTTTAGGGGTGAAAATCCTTGCAGTGTTGCGCCGGTTGGGGTCTTAACGTAGATGATCAGCCCCGGCGATCCTGTTTTGTTGTCTACTACTTCCACGGTGTGGAAAATGTAGACCGTTTTTACGGGCGCGAGAGAGTTCGCCGCCGTTGGTGCGTCGTAAGTGAGTGACATTGCGTTAGGCTAGTAAGCCGATGGCAACTGCTTTACGCTGAGATTAGTAAGCGGATGGGAGTTCGTGTTGATTTAAGTGGTATGCCTTGCGTTGGTGGTAGTATGAAAATAGACGCAAAATGTCAGTGAACGGCGGATGGCAATGATGTTGCTTGTCGGTCTTTGCTTTGATCTAATTCGTATTCCCTACGAAGTGAATTTGGGAAAACCTTATAGAGGAAAGGGGTGTGGAAATGGATATGCGTGAGAATGGCGGTTGGTAATGGTTTGAATATTGTGAGGAATTAGGATTGTTTGAAGCTTATGTATACGAGTGGTAGCATATAAAGTTGAAAAAAAAAGGAGTGGCACGGCTTGAAAATTATTGAATTGGTGCGATTGATCTGATGCTGTCGCCAGGTGAAGAATTGGACGCTGTGGCGGTTTTTTTTTCGAATTCAGTCGAAGGCGACGCTTTTGAAAAAAAAAGATCAGCAACATGAATTGAAATTCAGAGGAGTGATTCACTGACTCATTGGTCTGCTGAAATTCGTAGTAATATCGGATCTTCGAGGTTCTTGAAAAAAAAGGGCAACAACATGCATTGAAATTCAGGTGACTCACTGCTTTGCTGGAATTTGTAGTAGCAGCAGATGAAGAAAAGGAAGTAGATGGCCGAACTTTTTCGAGGAATTTCGTTGATCGAAAAAAAAGTAGGCTTGATTCATGCGGAGAGGGTGGCGCGATTGATCTGATATTATTGGAAAAAACGGGAATTATGTGGATTGCTGTTTGCAATTGCATATCTTTAGCCTTTCAGTGAGAACACAACACGCGCGAGAGCGTGACACTCTTAGGATTTTTCTCATTTGTTCAAAATCCCTTAAGGAGGGGTCTAATATTAGCCAAGGGTTATTGCAACTTTTCCTTAAGGAGCTTCCTTAAGGAATTTTTTTTCTCTTAAGGAAAGTTATAATAACTTTTTGTAATAGAATTCCCTTAAGGAAAAGGGTTTTCCTTAAGGAAGCCGCTTAAGGGAGTCTCTTAAGGATTTCGCAAATTATTGCTAACCCTATAAATACTAATATCTGATAGTGATAGTGTAAGCCAAGTTTTAGTATCTCTCTGAATGTGAACGATTTTCCTTGATGAAAAACAAAAAGCAAGCATTGAAGATGAAGATGATGTGCGCGCACCACCAAACTGATTTGGAGGCGGCAGGAGCACCTTGTTCCACCTGCTTTGGGAGGTTGCAATGCAGTAACTGTAACATGTTAGCGCGGGCGCACCACGTGCAAGCTTTTGCGTTTCTGCGCCGAGCCACAAAACGTACGAGATACAGGAAATACAATATTTGTCCTGACAGCGCGCAAAACATGAAGAGTTGTACTAGAAGAGCAAGAGGGCAAGGAGGAACGGGGCCGTAGAAAATCTGTTGCCAAAATCGCTCGTTTTCTTTCTCGGTAGTCTTTCTATATTTATTCTTGTTGATTTATTTGCTTCGCCGTTTTTTTTTTTTTGGCTGCACGTCCCGTCTGAAGCATGTTGATACAGCATAAGTAAACAAAAACAAAAAGCTCACAGGGCTATCTCATAAATTTTCTTTGTTCATCATCATCCGCATTGCCCACCACGTACGAAAGGTAAAAGGCATGGCCGTCTTCGCGTTTCCGTTTTCCCCGTGGGCCTGGTTCAGCTGGCTTTCGGTTGCGGCTGTCACGTTGCTAGTGGTCGGTACCAGCCACCTGGTCGTTTTTCCTGTCATAGCATGGCAGCCTGGCGTAGAAGTGCAGCAGCCAAACGGAGCAGTGACTTCCTCTGCTATTGGTATTGCCGATGGAGATGGTGGCCAAACAAGGATTCAGAACTCGGCAGGAGATGCGTTGGACGTTTCCCCGTCCATTGCAACAAAGACTTTAATATCCAACGCACAAGAAGCAGACACTGAAATACCAAATCGTCGCCTGCCTGACGTCCTCTCTTCTTACCCGCCAACAGAAGAAGGCACTTTTTCGCAGTTGGTCGATCATTTTTCGTTCAAAAGTGATCGACGGTTCGAGCAGCAGTATCTGGCTTACGACAAGTTCTGGAAGCGCAGCAGTGAGTCTGGATTATGAGAGAGCGGGACACCTACAATATTGAATACTATTAACAAGCAGAAAGGGCAGTGAGAAATATTACAGAAGTCAACTACTTACATGACCTGACTTACGAATTCTTGACGGATGAATACATGATTTCCAGTTACACTCCGTTGTGTGCATACCCCCTTTGCTCTAAGGCTGGAAACTGAAAATGGCCGAGACTTTGCTCTATTAAGGCCGGGAGCTGAAAATGGGGGAGAGGAGAGTGCTGATCTTCATGAAAAAGCTGGGCCGATCCTTTTTTACATGGGGAATGAAGGTCCCATCGAGCGGTTCTACAATGTTACAAGCGTGTTGTTCGATAGCATTGCACCTAAATTGGGAGCGCTCATTCTGTTTGTGGAACATCGATGCTACGGAAAGAGCACGATTCTACCCGAAGGAGAAAGTGACGAGATTGGAGTCGTAGTACGAGCAGAGCCAAAAAGGGTGCGCGGTGAAGCTGTAGAAGTGGCACAAGGAGCAAGTGCAAACAATGACTTGACATATCTCACCATCGAACAGGCATTAGCGGATTTCGCTGCTTTCATAGTATGGTTTCTACGTAAGAAGGGAGCTTCAGAATCGCCCGTATTTTTGTTTGGCGGAAGTTATGGGGGAATGCTGGCAGCCTGGTTTCGGGTTAAGTATCCCCATCTCTCTACTGGTGCGGTGCTGTCAAGCGCACCGATCGACTTCTATCCGCCTTTTGCGGTTGATTACAGTTCAGCAGGAGCAAAGATTAGGGATGCACAAGCAGCTGGTTATAGGGATCCTCAGCATCCTTTGTGATATGCTCAATCATAATAAATTCATATGTTGTATATCAGGATCATTGGCTTTGCCTTTCATTGTAACTAGAAGACATGAATCAGTAGGATACGATATTTGCCTCGAAAAAGCGAGCATCCGCCTCGATCCCTCGGACCTTGGAGTTCTGGGATGCAGCTAGGCACACTTTCGAGGTATCGGGTGGATCAGCCTGTGCTCAGCAATTGCAGAGAGGAGTTGATCGTCTTAGCCTGATGAAGCCAGTGGATGGACATGTTCTTGGAGATGGAGTGGGGATGTTAACTCGACGACAATTGGGTCTTATCTTCAATACGTGCGAATCTGAGCCTGACGTAACAGCATTGAAATATTTTGTCAAGGGCGCCTTAGCGTCGCTTGCGATGGTCAACTACCCGTACCCGTGGTTCTTGACGAAACCTCTTCCAGCAAACCCTGTGCGGGCAGCATGTGCGCAACTTGTGCCAACTTTAGCTTTGGCCCAAGGGAAATCAGGAGCGAAGAAGCATCAGCAGGATGAACTGGAGCAGAATACCAGAGTTGAGGTGGAGCACGATGTTGTCGAAGCTGTGGAGGACCTCTTAGAAAGGCTAAACCGTGCAGTCGACGTCTACGGGGATCCGCAGAGTTGCAAAAACACCTCATTAGAGCTCTTGACTTCATCCAGTCCTCTCAATAAAACACTCAACACCGCTGAGATGATGCCAAACAAACCCGATGAATCCATGTCCCCGTGGAACTATCAAGCATGCACTGAGCTGCCAATGCAGCCCTTGACGTCGAATCTGTTAGGTTTTTATCCGCCTGATACACAGAAGGACTTAGGTGTCCTCATTGCGAACTGCCGCGAAAGATTTGGCGTCTTTACGCGTCCAGACTCTGTTCCACTCAACTATGGGCCCGTAAGAATGTCACAAAAACAGGCTGACTCTGTGTCAGAAGAGGACGAGCATTTGGAAAATGGCGGGAGTGGTATTCCACTGACCAACGCGATTGTAGTGGATGGCGAGTTGGATCCCTGGCGCGTCGGGTCCTTTGGTGGAGGGCAAGTATTTTCTAACAAGAACAAAAAGAACAATAGTGGTGAAAGCAGAGCGATGAAGGACGGTTTACTCGACGTCGCATTCTTAGAATCTTCAAACGTGCTCAAAATCCGACCCGTCAAGGGCGCAGCGCACCATCAAGATCTGATTGCGGAGTCACCCGCGGACTCACCCGAACTGAAGGCAGCACGCGCCTTAATTTTAGAGACGCTACAGAAGTGGACGCGCGGTCGGCCACAATCACGATCAGCATCAAGGGAAGATGAAAAAGGAAGCATTGGGAGTCAAAGTGACGGCAAGAGTCAGGAGGAAGACAGCTCCTCTGTCCTACACGACACTTCCGCGCGCACGATTAATAACGCGTCTCCAGTAATTTTTGAATAGGTGATCGTTACGAGCGAGCACGATTGATTAACACATGGATGATAGTCATAGAGATGGTGCTTTTCTCCTAAATTTCGTAAGGGCGTGTGACTAGTACAACGGCAGAGCAGGTCTTGGCTCGTGACTACTTACATCGACAGGCACATAGCTTGTAGGACAGAGAAATCAAGTTCGGTCCTAAAATTCTGAGAAGAGAGAAAGAATCGGTACTAAAATTCTGAGTACTCTACTACTTGCACTTCTAACTGAGCAAATGAAGAACTCAATAAAGTAATACTTTCGTCGGTCTCCACTGGATTCGGTCGTGTAGCGCGTTCAGGCTCAGACGGAAATGTTGCTCGGTTCACTTTCTGTCATCAAAGTCTTTTCGAACACGATATTTTCATCTGTTGTTCTCGTTCCCGACCGTTACCTACTGTTCCTGCCGACGCTTGCATCTTGTGCCTACCTACAAAAAGCACAGTAGATGTTCGAAAAAAATGACGACGAGACTTCCAGAGGCCTGTTGATGTACCATTGATTTTGATCACAGTGTTGCAACCCACATCAATAAGGCCAGTGCATTTAGTTTTAGTTTGTGACTTTGTCCCTGTGACAGCTCGCTTTTTACAGATTGAGTCCAAACAAATTCATCTCTTCGAAAGTCATGCCCGAAGCGTCTTTTGGTCAGGTAGAGAAGCGGCTCGGGCGTGCGCTTGAAATTCTGCGCGAGAATGAGCCCCGAGCAGAACGGATCCGGACTCGGCGCCGGCGACGAAGGAAAGCAGACGAGGAATGTCCCATCTCGGGACATCCAAGTAGCATTGGGGCCACAAAGAGCCAGAGCGTCAGTTCTGCAACCGGTACAGCTGCGGCATCAACCTCTTCAGATCGCAGGGTCGAAGGTTCTGCAACCGGTACAGCTGCAGCATCAACCTCTTCAGGTCGCAAGCTCGAAAACGGTACAGCAGGATCTGTCTCGCTGTTTTGTCCAGTACAGAATGTACCGGACGAGCCGCGTCCAAGTGCGAGTCCACCACCCGGACCTAACGCCGCGGGACCGCTACACTGTGGAATGTCAAGGACTAGTCCGATCTCTCCCTTTTATACCGATGCCATGGTAAGTCGATTCGCTCGTTTCTATGCTCGGAAACTCGGAATCCGTCGTTGCACTTCTGGTCGCGATCGAAATCGCCTTCCTCAGTTCCCGCAAGAGCAAGAACTTCAGCGTAGAGATAAGGATAACCTTAACCACTTCGATGACAGCACTCCTGCTAGTTGTGACGACCAACACGAACAACAGCACCAAGGCCAAGGAAATATGTCATGGGCGGAGTACTATGGCCATTTCTCAGCAGGTCGTCGTGTGGTCGATGACGAGGCACAAATAGAAGAAGACAGCTACAGCTCGTACACCACAAGCGACTCTACCGCATCAAGTCCTTTGGACCCGGATCAACCGTTTTGCGCTACTCGCTTGTTCTATACCAGCGTCACAGTGGCGCCCAGATCATCCCCGCGTGAGGGAAGAAGCAAGTTTTTCTTTGCTCCTTTTCATCCGACTCGCTGTCGCAGGGATCATCGGCCACGATCGTCACGCGACCAGACGAGGGACGGATCACCGAATGCAGTGGGTGCTGGAGGAAACGCCGAGAAAATGGATGAATTACCAGTCGTCCGCGTCCAGGAAGATCTACTCGTTTGGAGTAATTATTGCGTACCAGAGGGCGAAGCAAGACGAGCGACGGACACGGACCTCTCTAGAAGTGTGGAAGATCCTTGCGGCACAGAGAAAAAGAAAAGCAGTCCACCTCTGGAGAACATGTCTGCAGCTTGCGTGGACACAGCAGTCCTCTCGGGAGAAGACTCGAAAAAGGATCTGGAGCAAGTACTTGGAGATGATGAAGACCAAGTGAAGACAACTCTGGTTGACACAGGGCACGATCCAACCGCAGCTGCAGCAAGGCGAACTACGAGTGCTCCTTTCCTGTTCTACACTCCCGCTAATGGTAGTGGTCGCGAAATGGACACAGGAGAGAGAAGGCCTACAAAACAATCTGTGGTCGCAGATGCCAACGCACGAGGTGAGGCAGACCAATCATTTCTGGAGAGCATTTTTGGTCCTCCTCCACCAGGGGAAGTGCGTACAAAAAACAAGACTGCTATCAAGCCCGGCGACCCCGCGATCACAGGTGGAAAAAAGTGGTGGTCAATCTATTACAACAAGAGAACGTCTGCAGCTGGAGCTGCATTAACCACCTCGTCGCGTCTGGAGAACAAAACGCTAACGCCGAGTTCGATGAAGTATGTTGAAGAACAGGAGAATCCAGTCTCCTCGCAGAACGAAGGAGCGCGTGAAAGTAGCTGCTGCTGGACCTCCTCCGAAAGAATTAATACATCTGCAGCAGACTATGAAATCAACGATGACCACCAAGCACGACATCAACCTTGGCACGACAAGGGTGTAGTCGGGGATGCAGGTGTTGTACCGGCACAAAGACAAAAACTACCACATGACTACTCATCTATTGCAGAAGATAATCAACTTCAACCTCTTCTAGCGCCAGGAGAAGATTTGCTATCCTCGAAGAGCGATGAGCAATCGCACTCGGTCGAAGATGATCACCAAACAGACATTTTTGCAACAACGACTGGCACCGACGTCGAAGAGACTGATCCAGTGCGCCCCTCTCCTGTCGGCACACAACGTCCCAAATGTGTTGAACAAGAGGTAGTTGCTGTAGCGGAAGAGGAAATTGGTGCAGCGCCAAGTCATGAGCAAGATTCCTTCGTGGTCGTGACTGCGGAAATGAGCGACACCTCCGGCGTAGTCGCACGCAACGAAAAAAACACGAGGACGCCAGAGTCTGACTTTCATGCAGCTGCAACGAGTATAATATTGTGTCACACGACTGAGTTTGAGGGCGCAGCTGGAGGCACTTCTGCGCCTCAAAACAGCGAAGCGATCTCTGTCGCCTCTGCGATCCAGCTGCCGCTTTTCTATCCCTCGCTCCCGCCGCCGCCCACAACAAGCGCCGTTCATTGTGGTAAACCATCGCGATCTTCAAGCCCGGTCATCGGTTCGCATCATCCATCCGTAGGTTCAGCCGCGCTAGTACTGCGTCGTAATACAGACGGGCCTGTCAGAGATCCGAGCTCTCGATCTCCTAGCAAAGCGCGAAAGAAGGCTGCAGACGAATTTTTCGAGAATCTCAAAGATGTCAATCTTTTCGTACCTGGTGGTGTCGTGCCCCCCTCGCAGCACGATCAGGTGACGTCGTCGCACAACCACAAGATCAATGCCAGTCACACTCACGACTTAGACGGGTCGCCACATCATGACCATGTACGTGACACGCAGAAGAAGAGTAAAGTGGCGCCCGACAATAAGTCTTTGACTTTGTCTCCGGCGCGCTCGACGGGAAGTGGCAGAGGTACAGGAAAGGATATTCAGAGTCGTCCTGATCCGGGGTCTCCCCCGTCACACACGAGCAACAAAGGACATGGTAAGTGCCATCACCTAAAATCTCGGTACAGAAACAGGGGGTGGAAACGGGGCGGACACTCTCCGCGGCGGCTGAAGATTACCCGTGACAATCCGAAAGTTATGGCGCCTTGCATGCGAAAACCCAAGGTGGCTGCATCAGGTTCTTTTTCGCCGCCTCGTGTCAGACCCGATAGCGTTCATTGTGGTGCACACCGGAACAAACACGACGTTTTCCAACGCGCATGGCAGGAAACCCGTCGTCGTCTCCGGCATGCGGCGAGTAAGCACAGGAGAGGATCTTCATCACCCGCGGGCGAAGACAAGCTACATCTTCAAACAGCCACGCTCGATGGTCGCGGTATCGACATGAAAACTTCGTCTACTACACCGAGAAAAGTTGGCTCCTGGGTGGAACGATTGAGTGCGCCACGGGATTATCGTGAACATGCAGTGTTGCATCCCGAGCCAGAACCCAAGGATGTATTGTGGTACACTGCTGGACCAAATCGGAATGCCTGGTTTGCAACATTGCGGGAGCCGAGTGTTGCAACAGGTATCAGCAATAGCAAAGATCAGGATCCTCCAATACCAATGACCCGCATCGAAGAGCTCTACAAGCAAGGCGTGGCTAAAATGAGAGCACTCAAGAGAAGAAAAGAACGTCATGCTGATGCGGACCACGACCACCACCACTCTTTCGAACATGATGAGGATTTGAGCGTGCAATTGGGTACAACATCTGCACAGTGGACCATCGGATCAAATATACGATGGAAAAACAGAGCAGGAAGTGCCTCACCTAGGTCCGCTTCGGGAGACGAGAATGTGCGATCGACGAGGAAGGAACAAGACTGGAACGAGTTTTTCTGGAAGAACGAAGTGAGAACTCGATGCAGACCCCAGAGTACTCCAAAAATTCATCATGAGGATGCTTTCCACCAGGTTGCGTTCTCTCCAGATCATCGTCAAGAATCCAATTCACTCCCGACACTTGAGGATGTCGATGCAGCCACGGAAGGGACAGTGGTCGCCTTATCCCCAACTTCGTCGTTAATAGCGACCGACTTGAACAGCGACGTAGGCAGTAGAGCAGGCTCGCTCATCAAGAGCCCGTCCTCCGCCAATTATTCCGGTGGCATGCTGGCCAGTGTCGCTGAAGGACGGGAGAGCCTAACGAATCGCTCGCGGAAACGAGGCTCTTCGACAAACGCCAGCTTTTCCTCGACTGTGCGACATACATCGTCATCCCTTTCTAACCGTTTTATGCGAAAGTCGCGGACTGGTCGGAATCGGTTGAGTCGGTCTGTACCCGACAACTATGCTGTGGGAGAATCTGTCTTGGTGCGACGTACGAAGTGGAGTCGAAGCTGGCGGCGGTGCGTCGTTCTCGAGAAAGTATCTGCCCCATCTGGCGAAAAGTCCGCGTTCGTTGTAGAAGATGAAAGAGCAGCAACGACCAGAACAACAAAAGGACCCTCTTTGCACTTGTCGAAGTCTCCACGCAAGCATTCCTGGAGTATGTCTCTGGGTGCTCAGAGGACAAGAAATAGCGGCAGTTCTGATGGTCCAATTCCCACAGAGAATCCACGCAGACTCGCTGCATCTCTTTACAGCGGGAGCAGTGAGGTCGCATTACCGCCGGGTAGCATAAGGGTCATGAACGCAAACCAGGCCGCAACTGCATCTTCGTCCCACAGGGATGACCACAGTCGTCCTTCCCAACATCATCGTTTTCAACCCGCTGTGTGGATCCGCGCTAGAGACGTCGAGGACCTTGTTAAGCCCGCTCCGGCACTTGTCCATGACGAACGCGAACCTCTGCCGACTGTGCAAACTAACGTCGATCCCCTTGACAGTGGTTCCGGGAACAGGCACACTGTTTCATGCGGTGATCTTCCTCCTGTTTCGCCAACGTCATATACCTCTGGTTCACCAGACATCAGTCCGCAAGGCACGCAACGGGAACAGGAGCCCATATTTCACGGCCTCCTCAACGTGGATCACGAGTCGCCGTTGTCGGAATGCCGCTCTCCTTCGCTGAAATTGAAAAACATCAAACGTCTGAACGCCGTAACGCGTGCCGTTGTTGTGATTCAGAGCCACGTGCGACGGAGGCGTGGACAGCGGATGCTTCGCTTTCTGCGTGCAGTAGTAAAGCTACAGGCGCGCTTTCGCGGCATCCTACTGCGGAGACTTCTACAGGACGTACGGGAGTCTCTAGTTTCGGCCCAGCAGCAACGGGTAAATGAGCGAGCCTCAAGTTCTGTCCCCGGAGGCGGTCATGCTGCTTCGTCCGTAATGCCGAGAAGGGGCTCCGCAGCCCCCGATGTTGCGGTAGCCGACGATCACGCTGCAGCAACGAAAGTCCAAGCCTGCTGGCGGAATAGGAGAAATCGACGTCGAGATGTCGCCATTCGTATACTTCAAGCGCAGTGGCGGCTGCGAACCAGGCAGAGGGCTACCCGCCTGACCCTAGAAGAGCGAATTTCCGATCGTCGTGTAACTCGGTCGGAATTGCTGCGTGCTGTTAGTAAGCGTAACGAAGCGGGCAGGCGGTATTTGGACCATGTCCACATGACGCCCCGCAAAACCGGCAACCAAGAAGTGCTCGAGACGGATCTCCAGGCTCATCAGAATTCAAGTGGAATCCAAGCACACAATCTCGATCAGAGCCTGACTCCACCTGTAAGAGCATCTCATGCGTCACCTCAGACTCTGTCAGCCTCATCTCCATCAATCTGCACTGTGCATGATGAATCTCCAGATGGATGACAAAACTTCCAGCTGCGTGGATCGGTATCATTGAAAATTGAAAACCGCTGGTGCCTGACGATCCACTGTGTGTTGCAATCCATTGTTGCAATCCATTTGAATTGGAGATGCCAATTTATTTTGAATGTTGATAGAGTTTAAAAAGCGATAGCGAAGTGTTCCTGTGCACGAGCATACTCTTGTAACAGAAAGCGTTGCGCATGTTGCTATCTCTCTTTATTTTCTTTGCGTTCGCCGTCGCGTCCTTATCCTTCGGACGCAGTTCAGTTTTCGGCCTGTGATCCACATCTTGTCACGTCTCTGTCGCTAAAGCTACACTTCCTAGAAGGTAAGTACTCTGTTGTAGCTCGGGAACTTCCACAAAGCTTCTGGTGGTGCAAGCTGCTGCTGCACGACTACTTAGTTAGTGGTCGCTTGTCTCCGTTCGGGTCATACTTGACTGCACGTACCAGACCACCATTCAACTTCCTTTTCTTTCCTGCCTCGCTCTACTCCATGCCGCACACCCTGAACAGAGGGCCGTCGTACACCTGGCCACCACAACTATTTTTTCGCCTCGTGTACGTATTCTTGTTGTTCCTCATCTGGTGAATATAAAATCCGGCGAATGTCAAGCCCGGCACTTTTCCTATCAATCTACACTTACTGTGAGAGAGCACTTCTAGTTCTAGTTCAAAAGTCGTGATATGATTCATCAATGTCTGTCTCTCGCAACACCGCGTTTTTTCTTACAGAAGAACATACGATGAAATAATGACTCCCTGTCCCTCCTGTTCCTCTTTTACGGAAACTTCAGCATGTACTCGCCCAACTTTTTTTCTGCTCTCAAACTCGACGCAACAAACTTGGAGCCGATCACTCTCCTGATCCTGTTACCACATCGACTCGGCCCACCTCGTCTTCTATGCCTCTCTCATATACAGGACGACTATACTCACTCACTTTGTCCTCCTGTGCGTTGATGAGCAGTTCCTGTAGCAGAATTCCTAAAGACAGCCTCTGTAGACTGTGGCTGTGCCGCCAGTTATTTTCGTTGTTGTTAGTGAGACCAAAGGGCTCGGAAAAAGCTATACTATAGCTACACTTCTATATTTATTGCATGAATTCGTAGAACGGAGTGAGGATGGACTTGGATGGATCGGATGGACATACCAAAGTCCTTGGGTCCTCCTTGAAATGCTCAGCGAACCGGGGAAGTCCATCCGTTCCATCCCATCCTGGACCAGGCACCCCTATACTATACCCATGACGGGCTTCAAGTTGCCGCGGGTTGCTCGAGTTGCCGAAGTGAAGAGTTCCAATACTGGAACGAGTTGCCACGAGTTGCCCGAAGAGGCTAGCGGCATCGAAATTGTAGCGAACAAGCAAGGCGGGGCGGCCGCAAGACTATCACTCGGAAAGCGAGACGCTCTCTTTGGGAGCTCTCCTTCACAAGAGAAGGCTGGGGCGGCGCTGCTTCTTTGCGTTTGGGGTCGATGGTGGCGCGCCCCTCCCCACGCGGTCGCGGTGGTCAGGAGCAAGCGCCTCGCCCCCCTGTGCTTGTGCTTTGGTTCGTTGGGGAATCGTGTCAAGCTGGGCTTGGGTTTTCGTTCCTCGACGTTGCGGTGGGAGGGGTCCCCGCCAGGGAAGGTGGGCGCGTAGCTGGCTTGCGGCCGAAGGGTGCCCTTGTGAAATTGAGAAACATGCGGCGGGGGCTGTTTGGGCGGGTCGCGGTTTCTGCGGTTTTCCTTTGGTCGGCAGGTGGGCGGGCTGGTGTAAAGTGCTTGCGCAGCGGAAGAAACTGCATCGAGCAGCGAGACGGTTCGCAGCGTCGTGCGCTCCTGTTCAGGTTTCTCGAAGTCTCACGAAGCTGCGCCCGACGGGGACGGGCGCCGCGCGGAAAATTAGGGTGGGCAACTCGAGCAACCGGAGAAACTCGAACCGATACGGGTCAGAAAAAGGCTTACTCTACTATAAATTGTTCTACTATATTATTTCTAAGCTGCGGGAGTTGTGGCGGAGTTGTAACCAACGAGTCTTAGCCTTACTTTGACGCGTCTCCGGCTTATTGTGACGAGCACGAGTCTCAGCCTTACTGTGACGAATTAGGGAAACGCTTGCTGTTTTCTGTCACCGACGTCAATCTCATGAAAAGGCGCAACAATGGGAATGGCTTTTTCGCGTCCCTTTTCTTGCCATTGCCGATTTGAGCAGGTTCAGGTTGAGACTATTACTTCTAAACAAGTTCCATATTCTGGACATTTCCTCAGACGCGGCATCAAGAATAACACATATTGGATGGCATCCTTGGGCAGCTCAGTGCTCTTGCGCGTTTCATTAAGGCTAGCTCATACCTCATCGCTACCAATTTTCGCTTCGGATTGATTTGTTCCGGTACAGCTTTTTGCTACAACGTGGTGCCATCCAGATTTCCTTTTGATAAGACGCTGTATCGATGTTGTCCTGACTGTAGGAATACCACTACAGAGAGGCCTTGTGGTAGCATTGTCGAGCTGATCTTCAAGATCATCTTTTAACTAAGATCTAACATATTAGCGCATCATCTTCCGTTCATGTTTTTTCAAGCACATACTGTGTCGGATGCTACGCGCTATGGTGCTGCAGTGGATAACACAAAAGGGTCTTCTTGCTCACTCCCAAGCAAGAAGTGTTCGCTATCGTTTTGGACAAGTGACTGTAGGGTATCCATACCTCACGTCCATTCTCGGAATGTACTTAGACAGTTCTTGACGTACTGATGTGTCACAATATTCTGTCAAAGCTGTGGGGAATTGCTGAGAGGGGAGGGGAGTAAATTCACACGCATCCATGCTATAGCGTTGGTTTGGGTCATTATTTTTGGTATGAGGTTGACTCTCCCTTGACTGCGCACTGGAAGTACAACATGAAAATCTCAATACGCATATTTTGAAAAATCCAACAACCCTTGAGCTCATTTCATTCCATTTGATCAGATGACGTTTGTTGTCGATGAGAGCAATATAATCAGGTTTCATCGATAACAGAAATACATGTACATTCATACCTACAATCACTAGAAAAGGATGAATTGAACAAACAATTTATGAATGTGAATTATAACTCATCTCGGCTGTTTACAAGCGATGCAGCAGTAATTGACTTCTTCATGCGGTTGGGGAGCTGAGCACCCTCAAACACAGCGGCGTCCACAAATGGCTTCAATTTTTTCAAAACGCTCTTGACAACTTCCGCCTCAGAACTTGTTGAATCCTTCTCAGCTTGCACAACGGCCTCCTCCTCTTCCGGTTGCCAGCGCTTGAACTTCCCGCGCTTCGGTCGCTGTATTAGAACTAGACGGATGGCACAGATTCAGAAATAACCTAAAATAGGAAAGATCCTGGATGCGGAAGTGCGTTCGGTATAGGGAGTAGAAGTCGTAACAGTCGTGTACCTTCGACGAGTTCTGAAACAGAAGCTCAACCTTCTCCCTCTTTAATGTAGAGTACCAGCTAGGTTCAATGATTCTGCTACTTGCTCGCTCGACTAACCTTACTCAATAAATATGTTTTCCTTCTTTCACCTATGATCATAACAACAGCACGATTTCGAAACGATCGCTTTTTTCCGTTTTCTCCTCGATGTCGAAAATTCCACTTATGCTTGGATTTTCTGGGACTGACACCCATCTGAGCTTGACCGGGTCGGTTTTGTAGCCCTCCGCTAGGTTCTCCATAGTGTCTGCGACTAACGCGCTGACCGGTCCGCCGCCGTATCGCAGCCAGAGAAGACAGAAGTTGCTGTCGTTTTCGTGACAGTCGTCGTCTCCACCCAATTGACGGGAAAAATGAAAGATAGAAGGAGGACCAAGAAGAAGTACTTCTATTTTTGGGCGGGTTATAGTTATGGGCTTTTGCTTTTGCAGATGAGACTTACTATGGTATCATGATGATAAGCAAAAGAAGTCATACCCTCTCCAACAAGTGCCAACAAGAACTGGTGTTCGACAGACGCAGTCTGGAGCTACTCGTGCTCGAGATCATAACGTTTCTGCTACTCAACAAGAACGATCTGGTCTTTCTGATGTAGTAGAAGATAGAACTTCTACAAATTTTCATAATTATAGGATTTACTCTTATTATGTTCACCATAAAATGTTCCCTGAGGTCCGCTTTTCCTGAAAAGTGCTATGTGCTTTTGCGTCCACAGGCTAAGCTTGTCTTTTTTCAGTTCCTTGCCGCCATACACCTCCTTTAGCCGCAAACGGTTGTCGATAACAGCAACACTCGGAATTTTCTGCAAGTCGACACGAGAATTAGAGATGGATCAAGGTCGTGGTATCATTCCATACATATATATTTACATCTATATATCAAGATCACTTTCATATACGACGTAATCATACACAAATGCTTATGCGCATGCGAATATCATCTAAGATGTCTACCACTGACACACAACTCCTTAATGACTACTGTGCCCACTTGTTTACTTCTCTCTATGTAGAAAGCTACTGCTACCCTAGTTACTACTTAGTCAAGCTTCCTGCATCATAACAAAATGTTGCTGCACTTCATTTTTGAAAAGGCCTTGCTTGTCGCAACGCAAGGCTACTCCTATCATTGCCCGACCAGCGAATTCACGAGAAAATGCGCGCCAAATCACTGGAACCTGATCGGTATCAGTTGTACGTGCTGGGAAGTGCGCGTCATATAATCAAGTAAGCAGTTTGAGTATCAGTATGTTCTAGATTGTCACAACCAGGACCGCGAGGGATACGGGAACGCCATCAAATTCAATTTCCAACGATATCATTTTTAGCTCAGCATCGAGAAGTTTTGGTTTGTGTCATCACTTCAAGTTCCGCAAGCGGGACCATCAGTGCAAGGTGACACGTCGACGTTTCTCATCACGTTTTCCAAAAATAAGTAGATCTTTGGCATACTGATATTTTGGTTTTCAAACAAGATGAAGAACCATTTTAACATATTAAAGAAGAGCCTAAGCAGATAGTAGAGGCAAGAGAGTCAATACCTCTTTCTTATGCGTGAAGAGAACGATTGGCGGTCGATTTTGCTCCGATGCTGCATTGACGAATTCACGCAAGTCACGCTTAGTAGTAATTTCCGTAGCATAGTTCGGTATCTGCTGTGCAATCCAGGATTGAATCGCTGCCGACTTGAACTCACCCTCATACCTGTAATTGAATTCCAGACTTGCTTCAAGAAATGTTGGGGGCTAGTATTCTGATTATCTCGTATTCCATTTCATGGGAGGTCCTCGTGGTCCACGAGGAGATATTAAAAAAGTTTTAGTTCCTCATCCTCCAGATTTAGACTTATGATTTTCGGCGTCCTAAGTACGTGTGTTGAAAATTTGCATTCTCACCTTCATACTAAGTGCATATATGTTGCTGGTATCATAGGTAAGTACGGCGTTGTCTCCTCGTTTGTATCCTGTGGTAGCCACTTTAATTCGGGCTCGGTTTTTCCATTTTGCGTTACACCGTACCGACCGCAAATTTGACCGTTTTTAAAGCAATTTATCGCTGGTTCTTAGAAGATGGAGGTGAGAAGTTCTCCTTACAAATATTGGGCGTTCTTTGCCCCTTAAGAACATCAGCCTGGTCAAGGGGACGCGGTAGTAATCCGCAAGAGCGTCTCGGATATAAATGTGCCCGCTATAGTATGATGATACGGCACTCAAGTAGAACACATCATCAATCAACAATTTTTGAGGATCTCGTCATCTTTCAGAAGCTACCTTCGACTTTGAGGGAAGTAAGCCTGCTTCAGGATTTCAAGATTCAGCAAAAAATTGCGACAAGGACAACCCGAATGAACTGGTCATCGTCATAAGATATTTTTGTGAACGACGCGAAGACCTTCGCCACTCTACGATATTCCTTTGCTTTGTCCCTGCATCCGCGCGAAGTGCACTTCGGGGAATAGAAGAGTACCTGATTCACTTTAGTACTTCAACATTTCTGCGTAGATGTTAAGATAAGTATATGCAAACTAAGACTAACAAGACACTGATACTGATTAGAACGTGACGTTGAAGAGACAGACACAGAAAGCGAGAGCAAGATTAGTTCAAAATCAAAAATACAGACAGACACAGAGAGGGACAGCAAGATTAGTTCAAAATCAAAAATACAAGAAGAAGAGTTCGAAGTTGTAGATCATGCAAAACGATTTAATTACGGGTCCTCTGTAGTAAAATCTTACCGCCCATGGTTCATCCCTATCGGTCAGAACGTTGCTTCCGGCATTGTGCGCTACTTCATATACGCCATCCTTCGCTTCGTCAAACACGTTGTTCTCGGGCCCGGCCTCAGGCTCTTCAAAAAACTGGAACTGCTGCTGAGTATGAAGGAAGGGACATCTTCACTAGATTTTCTACGACCCACCAGAGAAGTAGAACAGGTACTACAGATACTAGAAGATTCTAGTAGAACAGAAATACTTGTAGTACTAGTCCTCGTAGTATTAATTCGCCATTCCATTCCAGCAGTAAGAGTAACTATAAGTAATCGAAGTTATGCTCGACCCACAAGACACACATCTGGGGTGGGGGTCCTGAGTTGTAGAAAGAACGTTGTACAGCACTAGTCTGCTTAGTCTTATTTTCATAATGCCCATTCGGGAATTGGAGAATCCGGACATGAACTTTTCCGTTTGGCTCCCGACCAAAATGCTGACGAAACATGGCAGCAGCGTCAAACTCACCCTGCCCGCTTTCTTTCAAGGCGTCCTCGCCTCCTTGATCATACCTGTTTTTAGTATTTCGTCTTCCAGCTACCAGGTACGCGTAAAACCCAGTGAGATAGTATTTCTTCTGCTGATTACTCTAAAGAAGAAGAACCACTAACTACCAAGCTCTGTCCCACGAGCAAAAAAAATCATTTTACGAAACAGAAAGTAAAACAAATGCTTATATCAAGATCGTGATAAAAAGTTATAAGCAGGGCGGAGAGTAGTTCTAGTTGTCGTTCAAAGTAAAAGTTGTAAGTACAATTTTCTTTTCTTCTCGTCGGTTAAAACCTCGTTCGCTTGAGAAATTTCGATGAATTTTGACTGGCACTCATCGGACTTTCCCTCAGGGCACTTGTCTGGGTGGTAGAGCTTGCTCTTTTCTCTTCCCTTAGAAGGGTAGTAGTGGTGGTGCTTGTATGTCGTGGGAGGAGTATTGACTAGAGGGGTGCAGCAAGCAAGGTGGTATTGGTAGCAGTAGCTGGTAAACTAATTTTAGTGCTACGCCTACGTGCCGGTGCCTTGTAGGTATTTTATTAGTTGTGTTATCATTGAGAAGGCCATTATGAGAAAGAACTGTGCTCGTAAATCGCTCTATTTTCCCCTACTTGTCGTCGAGTACGAGAACGAGTAGTTCTACGAGGGACAACTTGAACTTCTCTTAAGGTATGCCTTTTTGATGGCCGACTCGTCCGCGTTCTCCGGTATCTCCAGGACTTCATAGTACCGCTTTCCCTTTTTCTTCGCCTCAGCACAGATAGTGCAGCAAGCAGAGAGTATTATCGCGATAATCAGCAATATCCTGCTCACCTTTGAAATTTTAGAAGGATCGATTGCGAACAGTGGAGCAAAACTACTAGTGCTGACGCATATGCATACTGAATTTACAGGACAAATTACGAACCCTAGTAGTCCCCGAGGTTCACAACTTATTCTTGTTATGAAATATTCTTTCGCTTAAGAAGATTGAACAAAAGGGTAATACGCTGTTCGATCGTGCACTACATGATGTATTATATGAATCAGGGTAGAACTTAACTATAACAGGCACGACAGGGGTCCTCGTCCTCGTGCCTGGCCCTGGCGCTCCACTATGGTTGGGATGCAGGCTGCGACATCTCGTATTAAAGGAAGCAACAGCAGCATGCTTACCTTTTGATAGTGGTGGACCTGGAGCGCCGCCTCCAACGAGGAAATTCATTCTTGAAAGCGACAAGGACATCATCATTTTTCTCCTCGGCTATCTGAACTTACAAGCAGAAGGGCACTATCATCAAAGAGACGAACACCTTATTTGACCGCGTAAACGCAAGGTTAGGTATTTCGAAAAAGGGCATCAAGCTTTCAATGATATTTTTCCAAAGAACGTTCTGCCCACTTCATGATGATTTTTAAGTATATTTAGTAAGTAGCTGCACCAGCTCGTGGAGGTCTCATTACTGCCGTAGCCCTGCAAACAAGTTACAGCGACATGAACATGAAGCACATCATGACGACAACGAATATTAAAAGAGAAACACCGGAGTCTTCGAAGATTGTCCTCGAAGTGGATAGTAATTGTTCTCAACCTCATTATGGACATGATAGATTATGATTTGTTCTCAATGGATAACATACTCTTGTCCTTGACTACAACTTACCAAAAAAATGCGGAGGGCCACGATGGGAACAACATTCGTTGCTCACTTATCGCGCATTACCTATTGAACTTTGACTCTGAACTCTGCGCAAATTGAGATTGCCGGATCATCATGGTCATGGTTACGAACATGATCCAGTCTCTCTCCGCAGGAGGGCAGGACCCTCGAAAATGAGGAATCCTCCTGAGAACCTTCCATCAGTGAGCTCTTTGTACCTGGCACTTTTCAATCTCATGATCGTGACTAACGTTTATCAAATCATGCTCACCAGAACTTGTCTGTGGCTCAGTCAGCAGCCATCAAACCGATTGTAGCCAATTAAGTTTGACAAGCGAAAAATGAACACCAAAAATAGATGCATGTCTTGGTGAGTAGCTCGTTACTTTTTTAGGAGCTCATGTACTACTTTCTATTTTCTCTTTCTTAATGTTGTTGTTCTCGAGCAACTTATAGATACTTAAACAAGCTGGCATGCACTCCGCTGCAAGCCGTTATTGGAGTTGCGATTGCGAAGAATTTCTATTGCTGTTGTCGCGATGATCATCATTTTGTAAGCTTATGTATCGTTTCGCTCCTATCATTTCCATAAGTGAGGACGCACAGTTGCCGTGGTGACCTCATGCGCCACCACGCTCGATTCCGCTCAACATATTGCGCTCTAACCTGTTCGAAGCTTCAACCTTCGGCTGCTCCAGATGCCTCGTCGTGTCACAAGAACCTTCAACTTGTGGATGCCTTATCCTGCGTGATCTGATTGACGTGGGTCACGACCTCCTGGAAGACGAATCCGTAGTCCCATACATCATCTGCCTCGCAGACCTGCTGACATTTTAGAAGAGTACTCTTTGGAGTATTCAGATAAGCTTTGAAGCAGAACAGTGCTTCAAGAACTACATGTGAAAACTAGCACTTTGCGGACATCTATGTATGTATCTATAATAGAGTAAGGCACTTGCTGACCCGTATCGGGTCGAGTTGCTCGGGTTGCTCGAGTTGCCTACCCTAATTTTTTGCGCGGCGCCCTTCGGGCGCAGGTTTATGAGACTCCGCGAAACCTTAGCGGGAGCGTATGACACTGCGCGCCGTGTCTCTGATCCTTGACTTTCTTCGAAGTGCACCCTTGAGACAGGAGCGAGTAACCGTCTCGGGCTCGAGACTCATCTCAGCCACTTGCTTGGTCATCTAATTACTTACGACATCTAAGTAAGGACTACGAATCTAGTGCGATAACCCACTTCCAACTCCCACCCCCAACTACTGCTTTCTCTAGTCTACTCACCCCCGAGCAAGGCTGGACGCGCCGCCATATAAAGCAGACGCCAGACGGGGGCTACTCGCTCCCACCCCCAAAGTGGATTCATTGGGAACACATCCGAAGAAAAAAGGGAGAGCGTCACCGACTAGACGACACCACACGCCACAGCGACACTGAAACCAAACAAAAACAACAACGAGAAGAGTCGTTCGCCACCTTGGTTGTGCTTTAATAAACGCCCGCCGGCAAGCTACAGAAAAAAAGTCATAAGGGGCACAGGAGCCCCTCGGACCCGGTTGCCCCTTTCATGAGCAACACCAAGCGCAGCACTCTCCTACAGTTCACCACTTCGAGCAGCTGGGTTTGTGCTCGCACCGCCCTGCTTCGCTCCATTTCGATGGAGCGGACACCTCCCGGCAACTCGTTCCAGCAGTGAAGCTCTTCGCTTCGGCAGTTCGAGCAACTCGTGGCAACTCGAAACCCGTTATTGGCCTTACTCTACTATAAATATATAACATTGAATGTGCCTCCCCCGATCCAGTAATCTTTGTTTATCCTTGTTTCTGTAATATCGTTCTTCTCAACAGAAAGGATACATAGGTAACAGTAATTTGAGCATGTGGTAATGAAAAACTAGCCTTAAGTATGGCGTCATCACGCTCATCAACGCCGACAAATCCACCCCCTGTTGCGCCGACGTGTGCAGCTGATCATTATGTTGTTGATAATACCGGTGGAGCACGTCTAACTAGGAAACAAAATTACATAAAAAACAAAATTACATACATACTTACACATCATTATGTTGTTGATAAGAAAACTTCAGGATATTTGAAAATCTGAGAACAGTTCCATATCGGAGTGTAGACGTGGAGGTGCTTTTGTCATAATTCTCGTCCATGATTCGAATGCAGTTATACCTGCAACAGAAGTACATGAGCAGATAATCGACCCTTCAAATTTCAATTTCCAGTACCAGTTTCTTTTCCGCTGAATCTTTTTCTAGATCGCGCAGAGACTGGAAAAACCGGGCATCATTAGCAATCGGCGGCGCAGCGATTTGCTCTGTCAAGTCGTCATTGTCGTTGTCCTCGAGATCAGGAGTGATTAGCACCACCTAGAAGCAAAATAAGGCGTTTTTTACATCAGAATATTTCCTGACCGTTCTTGGGTCTGCTTCTGACCAAGAAGTTATTGGAACTGCATCTACTTCAAGAAGAAAGGCAAAGGGCGGAGAGGAGTGTTATATATAACTTACCTTGTCTCTTTGTACTATAAACATAAAGAATTATAGATGACATTTGCCTTAACAAGCTCCTAAGGTCGTGTATCAAGAAAAGTGATGTTAGAAGCGGCATAAGATAGTCGGAATGGCGTCCCCGCCTGGCCCATCGTCGAAGCTGTCATGCTTCGAGCTCGTTTTGATAAGTGTATCTTGACTCTCCTGCGTGGCGGTGAGACTGAGACTAGTAGCGGCTGGATCTGAATAAGAGCGTCTCGGATTCAAGAGCAACTACTCACTGGTGACGGGAACGACAGTAGCCACGAAAGTGAAACAATAGAAACTGAAAATGAAACACATAGGTTCTGTTTCTGTACATTCATTTGCTACTAGCCGTAATAGACTTAAGTGGTGGAACTAGTTCAAATTCAATAATTGTTCATCACAAGAAAGCGTGAAACCTACCATCTTTCTTTTTCGTCTCGACCGAGCTTGAGGCGCCAAATCCCCAGCCCTCCTTTGCTTTATCATTCCCTCGTGGTCGAGGGTTCTTTTTCGCTTTAGCGCTCTCGCCCAATGCTGCGGTTTCCCCAAGAAGGACGTCCAAGTCGTCAAACATTTTTTATTTCTCGGCCTTCGTAGTGCAGATGATACAAACCGGTTTTTAGATCATGGTGATAATCAGCCGCGCGAGGTGGGGTAGTGCAAGAAATTATCAAGGCAACAATTTCAATTTTCTCATGAGCATGACGCTGTCTGTTTAGGTGGTATCATGACAATCCCTGGAGCGTGCCGTTTTAGAATCTTAATGTTGCTGATTAATTCTTGCTTTGTCTCCCTTTGTGACCCTGTTTTGGCTCTTTTCTCGACTCACCTTTTTCGAAATACGACAAGAACGAACACGCTAGCTCCTCTCTCACCACGCAATTTCCAAAGCCCGCTTTTGGTGGTCTTTGCGGTGGACCTCCCCAGTCCATCAGACGCGCATCGAAGGTTATGCTCATCCATCTCGATGTGTGCCTCACAACTCAGTTCTAACTTCTATCTTTGTGTGTCTTTGCATGATAAAAACCTGGTTTATATGCAGTTCGTCATGTCAGCTGGTGCGGACGACAACGTTATCTGACCAAAATGGTTTCGGTGAGATCATCCAGATCTTGCATTACCTTTTCACAATTCCAAAAATCATTACTTACATCAAAAAATCATCAATTTTGCTTGCTTCGATTTCGCTTTCAATACACAAAAAAAAAGAGATTGGTCAACATGCCAAAATAAGAACCTGCACGGTCTCCTGCGCACTCATGCTGGGCGAGGCATCTGTGGTGCATGAGGACTCAATCAAAATCGCAAGATTTAATGAATCTATTATTCATTTTCTAGAGATCACAGGTTCAGTCAGACGACAATGACCGAATTGCCTGTAGGAAATCAAGTTCTCCCTCAAATCGTTCGTGCATAATCGAGCCGCCTCGCCTAAAAACGACACTTCGCTCTTCATCAGAGAGAATAGCATTCTGCAATAACCTATTATATTAAGTATTTTAGTTTTGATCTTCATTGCATCGTCATATTTTTACCGAAATCGGCAGACACAAAAAAATCACACTGGGCCAAGAAAACCCTCATGTACTGTCACAACGGCTGCAACCCATGAAGTAGACACACTTTCAACCAAAATTTACAAGCAAGTAAAAAAAGCAAGATGAAAAATTAATTTTCGTCTAATGCCGTCAGTAAATCGAAATCATTAGATAAACATATGTTCTTCATGTTGTCGATGATATCAGCAATGTATTCCTCGATATTTGATTGATGTAACTGGTCAGTAGTATATATTATCATCGAACAAAATCGTAAAAATGTTACAAGGAAGTTGATGATATTCTTCACATGTTTCTCGTTCGTTACACAAAAAAGAATACGACACGAAAAAAGAAGCATTATTTATGATCTCTTGCCTGAACTTTCTCTTTTCGGTTTTTGTTTTTTCTAGTTAGGCCTGCTCCACCAACATTATTGACGTTGATCTCATTGATGTTTCATCGTTGTTTGCTCAATAATGTGAACGTGAAGTAACTTGTTGCATGTAAATCCGGAATGTACTGATTTTGGACCACGGAAAGGATGCAATTGCGGTAGCAGCGAGCTGAGCTTTTTCGGTATTGCTCAATTTATGGAGATATTGCAACGAACTAGCAAAAGCAAAATTCGCTTTTTTCGAGAATCAGAATATCGATTTTTAATCCAACTTTCAAAAACGAGAGTTGTCATTAAAAAATCCGCAACTCAGAATTTACAATGTTGTTTCCGACTACTTACAAGAAGAGAGAACGTTTTTTTCGCAATTTCTAATCGTCCCGTGTGCCCAGTGCATGCACCGCCGGCACCTGAAAAAGTACGCTCGTATACTCGTCCGCGCCTATCTTAGCGGTAGAAGTTTTTCATCACCCCAACCTCAGCGAAGATGGAGATCCCTAAATTTTACTAGAGATAGCTAAGTGTGTTGCCCCTTTCCCTTCGATTTTTTCTTTTCCATTTTTATAAGACACTACTTCCTCTGCCTTCTACAAGGAAGATAGCCCTCAGAATACTACCAGATGCTTGTTCACGACCCAACTTTTTCAGTGATGATAAGATAAAACTATTATATTATAAGTACAACATCCGTAACGTGTGTTTGCTGCAGCTGTGCCGAGACCAGTGCAAGCGTCCAGACGAGAATCGCGTGTGCTTCCCACGCCAGTTCTTCCGGCTCCTTCCCACTAGCAATGGCTGAGGTCCTAGAGGACTGAATGTTAGACGAGTCGTGTTGTTGTTGATGTTCTTGCAGAATCTTGAAATAATCTAACTGGTGATGAGGAAACTCACAAAGTGAATGTAGGAAGAAAATCTAATTTTGTCTCGAAGAAACGTCGCAGTGAGAATGCGTTCACGTCGTGGTTAGCCTTAACGATGAGGGAGGCGACGACACGTTCCCGCATATGCGGGTACCGCGATCCAGCAAACGCCGATTGGATCTGCAAGACAAAAGATGCGGCCGTTCTGCTCACGATCAACTCCTGTGTGCGCCTCCTTTTTCGTTCTGCCTGTTCGGTGGCCGTTTGTCCGGTGCCGCCTGTTGGTGTTTCAGAAGATGCGGATCCGCTGCTATTCGGGCTAGCATCCTGCTGTACTTGTGAAGACGCTTGTATGCCGTGACGTTTGGCGAACGCGGCCCCGTGGTCGGCTAGCAGGCTCTCCTGCATGCCCATCAGGCCACGGGCGTTAAGCATTTCGGCTAAGAGCGGCTCGACTATGCCCACATGGCCCGCATCCTTTCGACGGCTGTATATCTGCGGGCGTGCGATATGCGTCCGCTCATCGAAGCTGGATTCTCCCCGTAAAGTGAAAAAGAGCGCTTCCAACTTGTCCTCGCCCTCACTTAGAGCCGGAAACTCGCGGATACTTCCAGGAGCCTCTAATCGTAATTCTCGTGGAGGATCAGTACTACTCTGTTGAGGAGGCCCATGTGACGTGTTATTGCCCAGTGAGGAAGCTGCTTCGCCGCTCATACCGGCAACTGATGGGAGCGCTGGACTTGGATCACCGCGTGCTCCAGAAGTATATGCCATTTTCGGACGGCTTTCGTCGACCACCTCTCCATCAGCAACTCCCTTTGGTACAACTAGTGGCTTCTCGTTTTGCTTCTTCGCAGCCTCATCAGCAGCTCCGCTTTCCATCTCCTCCAGTTTTTTTTCTGCAACTATTCGCTCCACCTGTTCACGCGTTAAGGTCGGTTTCACATTCCGGTATCTCGTTGTAGGTGTTGATATCGGGGTTCCTTCAGTTCTGGAAGCAGGAATAGCGTCAGGATCACTCTTTTGAAGGTCTTTGCTGGTGGCTTGTGCAGTAGTACTGATTGCTTGCATAGATGACGTGGAATCGCTGCGTTGTTTGGCAGCAACCTCATGATCATCTCTGGTTCTTGCCTTCTCTGGAGCACGAGATGAAACTGTAGTTCCACCTGCCTGTGCTCGTCTCCGAGTCCGATCAGTAGTACCAGTCAAACCTGTGATCATACTACTAGCAACTGCAGAAGTGGGCACAGAAGATGTGCCTTTACTTTCCGGTTGCGTCTCCGCTCGACCATCCAAGGTAGCACTGCGCAGTTTGGAGCTGAGGCTCGAGATTCCGTCTCCGTCCTCCGCGTCCTCACCCTCTGCGTCCCCATGATCTTCAAAGATCGGATTGTAGTACAGATCTACTATTTTGTCTGCAGGAAAGACAAGTGTTGAGGATAAGCCCATCTCCTCAGCCGCCTCAAGCAACCCCAGATCGATGTCGTCCTGCATTACCTTGTTTAGACAAGAATGAGCTCTTCAAATACTCCAATACCAATGCATAGCAATTACAAAATTGAATACATCTTCAGACATCTGTCTCGAAAAAAAAGTTCTCATGATCTTCTCATCTACATCTTTTTGATAGTATTTTCTTCCGAAGATACCAATGACTACACCTACACTTAAAAAAGAAACACGACCGAGAATCAGAGTACTTATGCCTTAATTTGTGGTATTTTTCCGAACTGACCGCGAGCTGGCGTGCGGTGAGGACGCGCGCAAGCTTGAATTGGTCGTCCTCTTCTTGCATGCGGAAAACGACTGCCGGCTTCATCGCCTTATGGACATCCCACACTAAATTCACGCGACGCGTATCCGCGTCCGGAAAGAAGAATCTGTGCATGGCGCTTACACTCACGTGAATATCCACGCTCGGACTGCGCAATTGATGAAGAGCAACCTTGCAATAATTAATCATCGACGTCTTCTGAGTGGTCATCTTCTCCTCATTCGACGACGCCGCAGCTGTACTAGGTGGAGGTCCTCTTCCTTCTTGAAGATGATGATCATCCTCACGATGCTCATCTTCCCCGACAGATAGGTCTGCGATTCCGGAAGTAACGTTGTCTACATCGGACACATTCGACGACTGCTCTGTTGGTGCGCGAGCGCCTGCCATCTCAATTTCGTGAAGACGCCTCAAAATGTTTGCTTCTTGCGACCTTACAATACCAGCCGAAGAAACCTCTGAAGATTTAGATACTTGCCTACTCCACCTCACCTCCTCCTGTTCTTAGAATTAGAAATGGTTACTTTAAGTTGTTTTTCATCATCCCCCTGGTGCAGTAAATTTCGTGAGTGGATTTCTGAGAATCCTTGGGTCATAACCAAGGACTCCAATAGTCACTCGTGGAGTCCTTGGTTATCATGGCCCATGAAGTTGGTCTCTTCACGAAGATGCTACACAAGTAGAAAGGATGATGAAAGACCGATTTCGTAATCTTCATCTCTTGCGACTTCCAACGAGGTTGTACATGCTGTACGCGGTTCGTTAGCAGAAGTGCTTTCCGGCATCGGCATTTGGGAGACCAGGTCAGAAATTTTATGTGCCTCTGCCTGGCCTATGCCCTTGCCGAAGGCAGTGGATTCTTGCAAGACATTCACGACGCGCTTAATCAATGTTGCAATGGTACTCTGTGTCACGTTGGTGGAATAGAAGGCGTCTTTCGCAACGGCGTCAGTAGTACCCACTCTTGCTGATGCATGTTGATGTTGTCGCTCTATCTGGCTTTTTGCTTCCTCGTCGTCTGTTCCTTTTCTAGATTGGTGCTCCGAAGAAGAAAACGAAATGTGGAGATGAGATGCACCGCCACTTGACGCGCCTGGCGTCTCCGAAGGGGACTGTGCGTGTTTCAGGACAATGTCAGACACACGCTTAGCCTCAGCTGAATCCAGCGGATCCGGCGAGCCTTCAGCTGCTCTCTGACGTCTGGCTGCCTCTCTCTCTTTGGAGATGAGCATGTCTGACGGAGATGAAGGTTCCTCGATTCTTAGCGGTTGCCAGTTGACAGATGTAGCTCGCATATCTCCTATTGATTCTTTTCCCAATTGAAAAGGTCATAGAAATGCTGGTGGTCAAAGAGCCGACGTCAACTTCCAACCCTTAAGACTACCGGCCCCCCCTCATCACGGCTAGTAGTGACAAGAGGCACTTCTTCATCCCGACCAGGAATGTCGAAACTTCGCCCACGCCCGACGGTGACGGCAGATACTGCTAGTTCCCCTTCGAGCCCACTGGTGTGTAGAGGGGAAAGGAGGATCTGCGTAAACGTGTCCACCAAGCTGACCTTAGAGCTCAGCCTTATCCATCTTGGGACGCATCTTGCGGCTCCTTTCCCCTTATGGAACAGCTTCAAGTAGATGCTTCCGAACATGGATTAGGCGAAGCCTTAATTATCACAGGGGCGCTGATCAGCCGTAGACGGTTGACATCCACGATTTCTGAGGTGTGCGCTTCCGGATTGTAAACACGATACTTCAGCTCGTAGGAGTCAGCTTCTGCGGGCTTTTCGTTCAGATAAGCTGCACAGCGGTAGGCAGAGGAAGCGGCTGAAGCACCTCTACTATAGCTTGCCGGCGATGAAGTGAGACCCAGGCCGACTTTCATCTGAGCGACTTCGGTTGCCTGACGCTGGTGCGCGGTGAGATGTTTACTAGAAGAAGCGGGAGAAGAACTACCCTTGATTTTGCTCGTCCCCTTGTTTGGTTTGAGCAATCCTCCAGTGCGACCGCGGCCTCCATGACTTGACGGAGAGGTGGGAGGAGCAGCTCCCTCCCGATCCGAACACGCGGGCGTACCCGTTCGCTGCTGTTTGGCGTTGCAGCAGGCAGCAAGGATGGAGGCGAGCGATTTTCGGACGCGCCGGTCTTCCTGTTCCGTAGTAATCGTAACTAACGGTTTTTCATCTTCGAAAACGCCTTTTGACTCTCCTTCATCTCCCGTTGCATACCGTAAGATACCGCTGTTAAACGACGTCAGCGTTGTTTTGGTTATAATTCCCTGAGAAATATCAGGAGTATTACTTGCACTTGCTGTTGTAGAGCTAGTGCCTGCAGCAGCCTGTTCTTGTTGATGTTCTGCCTTAGGTTTTCTAGGTGTACTAAATGATTTTGATGTACCCCTAGGGAAACTCAATATTGCCCCGACATTCGCGGAATCTCCACCATGCACCTGGCCTTGTACACTTCTGTACTGATCATGCTCTCCAGTAGGCTTGCTTGACGTAAGCAACTTTTGCTGAGCAAGAGAGTCTTCGTCCTCCTCTAGCGCTGGGACTATCTCAGGAACGAGGAGGCGCGATTCCCGCAGCTGGTCCTCGTTGGATTTCTCCTCCGCAAGATCCTCCGAGACGAGGTGACGCCTCAGCACCTCCGTCTTTACGTGCACAATAGGTTCCATCAGAAACGCCTTATACGGACGACCAAGCGCCAGGTCACCTTCTTCCAACACCTGGTCAACATCCGTGACTGCGATACTTTCTACGTCATGATCGTCCGGAGTATTCGCGTCTGTCGCTGTCCTTCCTCCACCTTGTTCCTGCAAAGGTACAGCATTAGCCTCCTCTTCTTCTTGGCGCTGTTTCTTTGCTGCCAGTCGAGCTTTCTGCTTAGCGTTTTTGCTCAATTTTTGCTGTGGAGAACCCGCGGCGGCGCCAGAGCCAGGGAACCGCATCGAGGCGAGATAATCCATGCCGCCCTCAATATCCATGCCGGTATAGGTCTGTAGTACATCAGAAATATCATCGCCTGTACTACAGGTCTGTCCGCCTCGTTCTCCTCCAGGACTGCTCTTCATTTGTCCGGACGACGTCTCTGCTGCAGCTAAGCTCGACGAAGTTGGATACACGAGGACTTGTGCGAAGTAGAGCTCGCCATTGGTCAAGATCTCAAGGCGACTTGGCGCCACATGAGCGACCTCACTCGTTTCTAAAATGAGCACCTCCGCGAGCCTCACCGCATGATACCGCAACAGCACTCCCTCTCCTTCCCAATGATCCTCCGTTGACGGCCTGACTACGACTCTCGAAACCACCTCTTCATGACGTTGGTGGATGTGAGTTCTGCGTTGTCGAGACCCGTCTTGAGTATTCTGCTCTGCTCTCCGATCAGATGAATCGCTTTCATCGCGATCATGTGTTCCGTCTACTCGATAATATGCGGGAGCCCGTCCGAGTGCTGATCTGTGTCGGGCCGCCGTTGCAGCTGTTGTTGCATTATTACCTGCACGCGAATCCAAGGTTCTTCCTGAAGGATAACTTCCAGTGCTCTCACCCTCCGATCCCGCAGTTGGTTCATGAGAGACTCGGTCACCCGAACTTAACTTCCGCTTTCGGCTACCTGGCAGAACAAGCCGCTCCGAGCGATCTGAACTGGCGTTTGCCCGACTGCTCGCCGACGATGTCATCCGTCTTTCGGGCAGAAACTCAACTAAGCCTGAAGAGCTACCGCGCCCTCCGACTCTGGACGATCCGCCGCCCGTCACCCAATGGGGCGATGAGAAGTTCGAATCCCCGTGCGGATCTTCAGGCAGTATTGACGGCAGAAAGCTTTCATTCGTATCAGCCTGTGGTGTGTAAAAAACGGTACCGTTAGGTGCACTACTAGCATTACTCACTTCCTGCGCAAAGCCCGGGCTCCCATTTCCAGGGTCTTCCACATTTCTTGGAGGCTCCCTAGATAAATCAAGAACAAGAACTTTCTGAGTACTTCCTTCACCTTTCTCCACCCCATCTGTCGGTTCTTCTCCCGTGGTCGCGTCTCGCTCTGTAGCATCTTTTTGTCTGCGGCTACCAGTTGAAGTTGTCATATTAGACGAAATCGAAACCTTGTAGTTCTTGCTGTGATTTATTGGATTCTCTAGGTTTCTTTTTTCGAATCTTCGAAAAACAGCTAAGGTACGAAAGGATAATAACAAGTATGAAAGAAATGATGTTATACTTGGCGGCAGTACCTACTAGCAGCAGCAGCAGCCTTAACAACAACATATTTATTTGCACTCATAATTATTCCTCCTTGCAAATGCATAGAAGCCTGCTTCTGCTCAGTTGCCTCGGCATCTTCCGAGAACCTTGAGGTTTTTCTTGAGTCACTGGCACTGGAGTGAATAATCACGCTTGCTTCGTCTCCTGACGACTCGCCATGAAGCTTCAGGCCAGCAAATGCTTTTCCTTAGAAAGACGCCACCATTGAATGGCATTCGCATTGATGAGATCACAACAATTTTTTGTTCTCTCAGCGAGCTGGCGAAGGTTAAAGAACTTCTGAGGTCGTTTTGATGCGTGAGCATAATATTCAAGCTGACCGTTCTACATTATTATAAATAGGTGAAGAATAAGTCTACGCGCACCCTTCGTCACGACATGAACCTTAATGTTTGAGGACTTCATCCGATGCTTCTCGACCGTCCATGGTTGTGTTTTGCCTCTCGGGTTCTTCTACTTCGAAGGTGTCAGTCTGCGCTGCTAAGATATCCAAAATATCTTCTCCCGAGTCTTTGCGATTTGCGTTTGTCACCTCAGCTGCCCTTACCTCTGTTGATGGCGCGCCATTGGTGTCCGGAATCATCTGAAGTAGATGTAGTACGTCTACGTAGGAGAAGAACATGAGAAATTGATGCTGAAGAAGCTATAGTATTCTTGTTGAAGATGATAGTTTTTTGATGGATCGGGGTAACAGAGTAGGAGAACCAAGACCCAATTGGACGAGAGAGCCCGGCCAAATCCCGAAGGGTCGAAGGGAAACGGCCGAAAAAATATTAAAAAACCCTACGGGCTTTTTCAGTTTTTTCGGCAGTTCGGTTTTTCCTCGTCATTTAGCGTCTGCATCTGGGGAGGCAACATGAGTCTCGACTTCGCATTATGTTTTGCCTGGAGTGACCCTTGGTACTGTGATTTTCTAGACTTTGTAGACCTGTAGTTTTCTCTATGCACGTAAAAGCTGCCAGGCGTATCTAGACAACAAGGAAAGTAAGGTGTGGTACAAAATCAATAACGACACCTCCATGCTCACATCTTTGGCTCCACCTTTCCGTTCGTGCTTGGTTAAGATTGGTAAGTCGCGATACTCATGATGCGCTTGCATCAGGCTGTCAGGATCAAGCGTGTTGCCTGAGTCAAACTTAGAGTTCCTCTACTTGTAGTACTTCAAGAAAATTTAAATTATAAGTTACATCATGATCGTTGATTGTAAAAACTGGATGATTCTCTCGAACAAGAACACCAATCCACTTCAGACTATATCTATAGATGTCCTAGCGGTAGCAACCAGCGTTATTCAGTTCCCTGGATCAATTGTAGAGTTCTTTTAACAATCACCTTTGCCGTAACATACTGCATGCGCGTTGCGAGATACGCTGACGTTAAAGTACTCAGGTGCCTGCGCGTTCCTGCTTGCCTTCGCGCGTCGCTGCTTGCAGTGTAGTGCCAGGCAAAGCCTTGTTTTGCCAGTTGCCCCCAACTGTTCGTGAGCGCTATCTCCATGTGGCGAACCCTTTCCGCGAAAAACGCAAGAATTCTGAGAAATCTGAGAGTACTGGCGGCCAGCCGTTCCGCTTCGACCATGAGCCGGTGCACAGTGCAGACCTCACATACACCTTTATAGCTCAGCCGAAAGGGCGTTGTTTGAGCTCGATGCTCCAGCTCCTCCACTGTGGCTTCGAGAAAGGCAGGCAACACTTCAGGAATTGCGACCAGGCTTGGGTGCAAAATGGGCGTCTTGTGGTCCTCATCGATTGTGGTTTGCTGTGGAGTCTCTGTCTTCGATGGCTCTGTTGTACGAGCAGGCACCTCAGTCGCGTGATTCGCCAAATTTAGATGCAGAGCAAGATTCATCGTCAAAAAGGTAGTGAGGGCGGACCATGATTTTTTTTAATTGAATTACAGGTACTCCTTAGACCTCTCGTCCCAGCGCGCGGCGCAAACCGCATGCGCTACAAATTCGATCATACGCTAAAACGATTGCAAAGTGAAACCGTATATTTTCCCTTAGATCCAATTTTTGGAGTCAACCATAAGTACAGTTCGTTTGCCAGTGCGTTTGCTGGACTCGACAGCGCTGGAAAACCGGACATGTCCGCGAACTGACGCCACTGTGACTCTACCGTGTCTCCGACCTTGGCTAAGAAGTCACCTTCGCAGCTCGGCTCCATATTTAGGACTTGTTCGCCAGGAGAAGTAGTTGCGACAGTAGGTGCCTCCGAAGGTGCACTTCCTACAAGAAACGTTTTTCCTTGGGAGGACGGACGCGCCTCATCTTCTAACTGTTCACTCCGGGGCTGCTCATCGTCCTCCTGGCAGGTACTGGGGTGCTCTGCAATCTCACTATCTTGAAATCTCAGGCCCTTAAGCACCGTGTTGCTGAGTCGGCGGCGATGCTCCAGAAATCGCTCCGTCGTCAATGACAACGGCGCTTGCTCATTTTGAACCGCTTCCATCACCTTGGCCACGTCGGCTCGCAGTCCATCTCCAGTAGTTGGCACTGAAGATTTCTTTCCCTCTGGTGCCTTTGGCTGTGAGGTTCCCGAAGGCGCTGCACTTGCGGATGCTGTTGCTGTGTCTGAGATGGAGCTACTGTTTGGTGTTTTTATGACCCGGAACTTCAGCTGCCCCACTGTACTTCTAGTGGCTTTAGTGCTCTTGTTCTGATCACGATCTTCTGCAGTTCTTGCCCTAGAAATGTTACCACTTGTAGTACCGGTCCTCGTTTCACCTTGTTGGTCTTGATGTTGGTCTACTGCCTGTCCACCTCCCTTAGCATGATCCTGGGTCGTCCTTTTGCTGCGTCCATTCACACAGCGTTGCATATCATCTGACCAAGCCTCAAAAAAGTGCGAGAATTCACTTTTTGGGGCCAACAGACCTTGAGACCCCAGTAACTGGACAAAGAGGCGGATGCTCGTAGGGGACAGCATCGTCTCTACTTAGAGTTCTGAGCTTCTTTTCCCTTCTAGTTGTATCCGAGTGACTTGATGAAGAAGAAGAAGAAGAAGAAGAACATAGTTAGTATGCAGTTTTCATATTAGATGGTGCATGAGATGAATGCTTGGGGGAACCCAAATGAGGAAACCAATGCCGAACACAATAAAGATTGAAAAACAACTGAACTTTACGTCAGCGTGTCTTCATGAAAAACTGTTGTAGCCTTAATCTGCAGTTGAAGAGAAGACTGAGCTAATGAGTTTGCTCATCCGCTTCAAAAATTCCACTCGCGGCCGGGCCGTTGGCGGCGTGCTTTCGTCGTAGACAGCCACTGCTTCCGGCGGTGCTTCCTGCTCCTGAAGCGCTGCTTTTGCCTTTTCGAGAGCCTTTTCGATACCCTCTTGTTTGGAGGCGGTTCTCTTGCTGCTTTTTTGGCTTCCTCCAGAGCCGATCGAAGTAGTTGTACCACGACTACTTTCGATTTCCGAAACCAATTGTCCCTTATTCAGAAAGTCCTCAATTTGGTCGACGCTGATCGTCCCTGCTAAGGTGTCGCGGATTAAATCATGAGGAAAAGCAAGAATCGGATCGAATCGTTCCTTCCAATACGCTTCCATCGGGGCAGGAGCTTGCACTCTCGTATCCATCACACCAAAGAATGGCCTTACTTAGAGCCCTGAAAAGCGAAATTAAAGAGGTGAGAGTAAGCTTGCTACGACTCACTTGAAGTTGTTTTGTTCTTTACTTATCCTTATGGATGAAAATGAAATAGATCAATGGAATATGCGGCGCATCAATCTTAAGTGAAGGACACCACGTGTAGCGCCGACAACGGACTGAGACAATTGTGAAACGGAGGATAGCCAATTTGTCGATCTGCGTCGCTTCGGAAGTGACCTCCACCAAGGTCTCGAAACATCGTCTTCCACACTTCCACTGGCATTAATCCACGTTGAACACTCACTTCTGAAGCGACGTGAAGGCCAGTTGGAGGTTGAGGTAGTTGTTAGAGTATTTATTGTTGAGGTAGTTGGAGGTTGAGGTAGTTGTTAAGTACGGGTGAAGGTCGTGGATTAAACAAAAGCTCCACCTAGTGGTAGTCGTAAAAAGAATATGAAGGTTATATTTGTCTTCGTTTATAGTAAGTAGTACGAAAGATGAAGTAAAGTAGAAGCTACTATCTCTAGTAGCCTTCATCTGCTCAACAGTTTTTTCAAAAGTGAGTGTCGGGCATCATCTGTTTCAGAAGCAGAGTGATCAACTAGCAGTCAGAGATACAAATCCACTACAAAAAGAAAAGTTATGCTTGTAGCCGTAAGTAGTTGTTGGATCTCCTGCGGTGTCGTTAGGGGATAGAAGATTTCCGAGTTGGCCGCCCTCCCCAAAGATGAGATTACGAATTGTCTCGTCGTTTCCTGCGTGAAAGTTCGCTGAACCACCGAGCAACGGTGCTGCCTTAGCCTGATCTGCAAGATCAACACCTTGATGACTCGTCTTTTCGTGATCGTTCGTCCCTCTGTCTACGACATTTTTTTTCGGAAAAATGGGTTTCGCTACAACAAGTGCTGGGCGACTTTCATCTCCGTGAGAACCTGACTCGACTGGGCAACGACCGCCAAGGTCACTTTCCCTTACCTTTTTCGGAGCTCTAAGGTCTCCGTCCCCCTGCTCTGGTGGTCGGACTCCCACAGCATCCATAGGGTGATTCACGACTTCCCCTTGCTGCAGAATGAGGCTTGGCAAAATGACTTGGCCCTGATGCGACAGCTTACGAATGAAACCACGACGATGCTCCAGAAGCACGAGGATCCTCCGTAGATGGAACAAAGGATTGGCTGCAGGGGAAAGAATTAGAACATTCTACTTGTCGTGTGGGCGCTCCACTAGTAACACTAAACCAATGTGGTCTGTACTCAACCTAATCGTGAATACTTAAGTAAAAATTCAGAACAGAATGTTGCGTCCTTCTGAGACAAAAATGATCGACCTCGTCACACATGCCTCATGAGACATCACACAGAGAGATCTTCCTTGTACTTACTTACTTACATCAATTTGTCTTATGCAATTCATGGAGATGCAATATTATTGCCGTAACAGCGACGAAGAGAACTTTCCAGGAGCCAACCAGCGCGCGGCCTGACCCTCGAGGCCAGGGATGAAAGCCCAGGCCTGCAGGTTAGGCGACCTATCTTCCTCCAAGCCTATATACTTCTTCGCCGACGTGAACGCGTCCTTTGGCGCTGGATTTTCGGTCGAAGATCCTAGCGAAGCCGCTGCCGCGAAAGCTTCATCAGGAGATTGATGCTGGTGTGCGGAAGCAGACCTAGCTGCAGCTGCAGCTGCTCCAGATTGACTCGTCCCCTGACGATTCAGCATGCTTCCAGTACTTGATTCCATGATGCGCGCTGTTGCATTCTTTCCAAAAATGTTGTTATTCACCTGCATCATCTCCGTGCGCAAGGCTAGAAGGTCTGTGGTAAAAGCAAAGAACCGTTGTAAGCGTGCAACTGCAGGCACAGGCTCTCCCCGCCTTAAATATACCCTTTGTAAGGTGTCCATGGATAGCGAGCTCGTGCGCACCATGTGCGTGACAGTAGCATAGATATCTTTTTGAGCTGTCCGAATGCTGCCACCGTCATAGCCCATTGGGCTGAGCCGTCTCGGAACGAGCGCGACGTTCATCATGCGAGGACTGGAACCCTCAACCACAGCTGAAATGTGGGTATGCTCCACTGGCGTGCCGAATACGCCCTCGCCCCTGTCGACGGGAAAAGCACCGCCATCACTCGCACGCTCCATCTCTCCTCCGGATTTATCACTTTCACTGAGCTGGCTCAGATCAACAAGGCTGCGCTTGGTAACGTCCTGCACGGCGACACCCAAATCGACCGCGTCGCCTCCTCCAGGTCCAGCTTGTTCATCCTTTTCTGCAGCCTTAGAGAGCGCATAGGCATCAATCGTATTCATCCAGTGGTCCATTACGCGGAAGGCGCCTAAGAAAAACATCTGCTGTAGCTCCTCGGCTGCGAGAACCATGGAGTTGAACCGTTCTAATTTCAGGCTTATCAGCTTGCGAGCGCTCTTGTGTTCACGCAGGACAGCCCCAATGCGCGTACTGCAGTGGTCTGAGTCTTGAGAAACTAAGACCATGGCGTCTTGGTCCCCGCACGATGCTGCGCTGCCTCCTACGTCCTTGATATGCTGTATCAGAGCGCTAGTGGAAACGCGTCCCTCCCCGCTCCCGTAGTGTATGTTCACATTCGCTCCCGGCGCACGCAATTCACTCTGCGGTGTCCCCCACAAAGAAGCCTGCTGCCCCCACGCAGCAGCACTGGCATTAGGGTACACGGCTGCAGCTGAGATGCCCTGCTCATGCGCTACGATGTTGAAACCTGTAGTACTTTCAGCTGCTGGAGTCCTTGATGTCGTCTTGCCATCAGGCGTTGTCACATCGACTTGGCGGATTCTCTGTTCGAGCGCAGAGGCTTCGTTTTTAGATCCTCCCGACGTTTTAGATGATCCTCCCGACACTCGCATTGACGGCACCAGCGCGGCGTATGCCTTGTCGGCTGCCTTGCTGCTCATTACCCTGCAGCTTAGAAAGATCGCACTGGTTGTACAGTTTCATCTTTTTAACATTCTTTCTATCCATGAGGATGAGATAGAGATGGTTATGGTTTGAAGTAGCCTCATCAATGAAGTACGCAAATCGCGAACATTATAGCAGCCTGAAAACATGAACAACATCAACAAATGCCTGATGTAGTGAAAATTATGATCTATATCAGCCACGACGGACAAGCCCTAATTTGTTGGTTGCTGTCTCTTCGCCATGATCAGCAGTTTTTGTGGCTTCGGTTTTACCCCCGCATGCGGTCTGCGCTTCACAAGGAAAGTCCTGATCAGCTAATTTGCGGTAGTAATATCCCGGTAGGGCTCGTGTCACCAACCAGTGCTGTCCGGGACCCTCTTCAGTAGCACCGTCACACTGTGCGTCCTTTTGCGTTTGCTCCTCTTCAACATGATCCTCCGAAGGATCAGGGTTGACAGAATCGGTATTAATGAGGTTCTGCCACTCTCCTCCAGACCGCAACATGCACTCTGTTTTTGCGACGGATGGTGGGTGCTTGCCACGTTTCTTTTCCCCTGCTCCACCTATGGTTACTTTTAGAGACATCAAGATTTTGATTTTTCTAAAGAAATTCATCGAAGCACGAGTATCGCCAGAAAAGTTGACTATCTCTGCTCGGATCCTACTACTTTGATACTTCCATTTTGAAGCATTTCTCAGTCATGCCGTAACTCTTGTTCGTCGGCTTGCTGCAAGCTTTCGGTCTCAGTCGCCGCAAAAATTTCGCCGATATCCTCGATCTGAGGACGAGAACTCACGTAGTAGATCTGCGCAGTTTCCTCCTCCGAGTTTAGTGCCTTGCCCTGCATTGGCTGGTCAACATCCGCTTTTGGAGACGCAACAGGTGAAGATGAAGCTACGCCGCCAGCGGCTTCACCGACAGATGCAGCAGCAGGCGAAGATGCGGCATCACTACCTGAAGGAGTACTCGCTTCTGCTGCTACGGGGGAGCTTGTAGCCGCTGTAGCTGCTCCTGAGGGTGTTGAACAACGAAGACCCACTCCCGCCGTGGCGGATGAAGGAGAAGCGCCTCCAGTTACTGAGCAAGGAGAAGTCCCCGTGCCTGGCGCGGCGCTACCAGAAGCAGTAAAAGCACTAGTGTGCTGTTGATTCCGCCTTTCGGACTTTTTCGCCTTTTTACCTGCTTTCGTAGAAGAAGCGCCCTGTGGAGCTGGTGGTGGTGGAAATACTGGGGGTCGCGGCCCAAGCCGAATCCCACCATTGGGGGCGCGCACGCTCGCTTCGGCAACGTGCTGGTGCAGCATCTTGCTGTTCGCAATCTTGGCCTCCGCCAGCAAGCGTTGCTTTTCACGAGCTCGATTTAGGTGTACGCGAATGGCCTCTACACGAACTTGCTCCACGTCCTCCGGCAAAACATACAGAAAGTCCCTGGTGACATCTAAATCTGGGACATCAATGCGCAAAATCTGCTCAGATGATCCGGATGCTGCTGCATCACCAGAAGATGGCTCTTTGCCTACTGTTAAACTGTTTCCTTTCGTACTATGTGGCGACACCAGCTTGCCCTTAGCAGCAAAATTAGAGCAGGAGAATAGAGTTGTATCTATAGATTTATGCAAAACAGTATCTTCGGCGAGTGGTCGACCACACTCATATACGAGCCCTGAAAGCCTCTCGAGTCTGTCACAGAATCGTTCTAGCTCTCTCAAGACATTACAAATTCCAAAGACACCCATACCGCAAAAGATAGATTCAAGTGATAGCCTTAACAGGCGAAGCCCCTGCCGCAAGAGCGGACGCCGGACTGCCGGTTGCGTTGGTTTTCCCGCCAACGTTTACGACGAGCTCTCCCTTGTCCTCGAAAATACCAACTTACTGTTTAGCGGTCACAATTATTTCATCAAAAATGTATAAGTAAGTTAGGTAAAAAGCTAGCCCCTTGCTGTTCTTGAAGGAAGTGCCGTTCAACACATTATAATATTACGATAGCATGGTCCTGCCTGTCCTTGCTTCTTTCATCAAAAGGAAAGAACCAACCCATAAGTACTGTAAAAAATACAGCTCTGATTGAGGAGATACAGATAGCATCTATCTTAAATGATAGCATCTATCTGGAAAGATAGCATCTATCTTGAAAGATAGCATCTATCTTGAAAGATAGAATCTATCTTGAAAGACAGCATCTATTTTGAAAGATAGCATGCATCTATCTGGAAAGATATCATGTATCTTGAAAGATAGCATCTATCTTGAGAGATAGCATCTATCTTGATCTTCCACCTCCTCTACAAAGTAAGGGCCTTAACATGAAGCTTGGTCTTCATTTCTTCATCCACGTCGCTCAATAGTCGTAGATGCTCCTCCACCCACTCGCCTGCGAACTCCAGGAACGCGCTTCGAGCCTGCAGACCCATCAACTGTAGAGTCTTGAGCAATTTGTCGAATCTTTCCCACTTACCTGCGATCAACATGGTCACATAGCGCCATTACGTTAGACAGGGGTTGGAACTTGAAGCTGACCTGTGAACGTGGTATCTCGCATATCTAAGTTATGATTTTCTTAGGTATAGGTAGAGGTACTTGAAGAAGCGATAGTACTAGATAATATGTTCATACTAGAGGAGTCATCATCTTCCAGCCCTTACTTGCAATGAGGGGACAACTTGTCCTTGCTCCGTGCTGTGATGTGCCTTCTCAGTTGGCTCTGAGGGCACGCTTGACGATCCCGCTTCCGGAGGTAGGTCTCCTGGTGCCTGCTTTGCTTTGCTCTTGCCCTTCCGAGCCTTTGCCGTTCCAGTTGTTGCTGTAGGAAGGTCAATAGTCATAGTGCCATACTGACCGCTCTCCTTGCCGTTCACCACCGGATTGAGCTGCTCTTGGTACAGTCGCTCGTAAGTGTCGTACAGCGGTAAGGCCGGCGTTCCGA